TGGATGGCATGGCTTTGGACAGTGTGGCTTTGGATGGCGTGGCTTTGGACACCAGTGGCTTTGGATGGCATGGCTTTGGACAGTGTGGCTTTGGACGGCATGGCTTTGGACAGCGTGGCTTTGGATAGTGTGACTTTGGATGGCGTGGCTTTGGACGGCGTGGCTTTGGATAGTGTGGCCTTTGGACGGCATGGCTTTGGATGGCGTGGCTTTGGACGCCAGTGTGGCTTTGGACGGCGTGGCTTTGGATGGCGTGGCTTTGGACGCCAGTGTGGCTTTGGACACCAGTGGCTTTGGATAGTGTGACTTTGGATGGCGTGGCTTTGGACTGCGTGGCTTTGGATAGTGTGGCCTTTGGACGGCATGGCTTTGGACGGCGTGGCTTTGGACGCCAGTGTGGCCTTTGGACGGCATGGCTTTGGATGGCGTGGCTTTGGACGGCGTGGCTTTGGATGGCGAGGCTTTGGATGGCGTGGCTTTGGATGGCGTGGCTTTGGACGCCAGTGTGGCTTTGGACGGTGTGGCTTTGGACGGCGTGGCTTTGGACGCCAGTGTGGCTTTGGACGGCGTGGCTTTGGCCTTTCAGGCTGTTGTTGGGTGACTGCCTGAAATAGTCTTGAAAATCTGGACACTTCTTTTAAGCTCTAGTAGTATTTCTTTCAAAGAAGGGCATTGAACAACGAGCCTGTAGTGTGTATAAAGGCCCCCAATCCCTTACGTAACATTTTGGGGCCAGGTGTGTTTTGGGTGGTAGGAAGAGAATGTGCGATATATAACTTATATTTTGCGTAGGGGGGCAGCACCAGGAATCAAAAAAATTAATAATTCTGCAGCAAAATATATGTGAATTCAAATAGAATCTACGGACCGTAAACAGCCTCGCATCCTCGCATCTTTTCAGCCGGGCTTTGACGCCACGGGAGGCCAAAGGAGCCATGAAAATCTGATAGTTTTCGGAGATTTCTGACTCGGGAAGTATCCCGGTGTCTGAGCGCTGGAGGGACGGTTTTCGATTTCAAGGAGCTGCATATGGTCGACTCGGGGTCGGCAAAGTGCAACGCGCCCAGCCAGCATCTGAACAGCGCGGAATCCTGTATCTAAGTGCCGATCCAGGGCCCCGCGGGCTGCCTGGTGCGTGCGCGTGTGCTGCGGCCTCCACGCTTCCCAGTGGCCCGTGCAGCCCCCGTGCCGGGAGCGGAGCGGGCGTGGGGTAGGGGAAGGAATCCGAGGCCCACAGCAGTCGGGTGACTCGCTCAGGACGTCTCAGCACAGTCGGGCCCAGAACCCCGCCCCCCGGGGCCGGGCCAACCCCTTGGCCAAGAACCCCCGGGGCCCCGTTTCCCCCGCCGGGCCCTCAAGGGCCCTGGGAAACCCGGAAAAAAGCGGGAAAAAGCAAGCTTAAGAATCCCCGGTCCACCCAAGGCCCCAAAAGCAACAAGAACAACCCCCCGCCGCAACGAACCCCGGCCCCCGCCCGGGAAAAAAAAAAAGCCCCTTCCGGGCCCAACAAGGAAGAAGAAGCCCCGGGGGGGGAAGGGGTGGGATTAGAAAATAGGCTCCACTCTTAGTAAAGATGAGTCCACAGAATTTCTGTAAAAGACAGAAAAGAGAGAAGAGAGTGATCACCCTCCTTCCCCTGCACTCCTGCCTCCCTCCTGCAGGACCGTGGGGCTGGGCCGTCCTCTTAGGGGACCTATCAGCTGGTGGGGAGGGCCACAGGGTCACTGGGTCCCCCTGGGGGGTGGGGGCTCCATCCTAAGGTCCCCTGGAGTAGAGCCCAGGGGCTCCTGGGTGGCCTTCCCTGCCACCGCGGGGGCACAACGCTCCCTGCACTTCCAGATTGTGTCCCCAGTGCCCTCCCCACCCTGTTCACCAGCCCCGAGACCTGCTCCGACTCTGGTGCCCTAGCGGATTCTCTTCTGAAGCCGAGCAGCCCTCCCAGCGCCTGTGGCCTTGTGGGCCGCGCCAACCCCAGCTGGAAAAAGCAAGCCCAAGGGATGTGCCTGCCCGGGGGGGTCACTGCAGCCAGTGGTCCCCCCCACACACAGGCAGGCAAGGGTTCCAGGGTCCCATCTGAGGCCAGCTGAGGGTGGCCCAGGGCCCCAGGTCCCAGCTGAGGCCGGACGTAGCTGTTCTTAGACATGGGTGTTACAGCTCTCCGGGTGGGGCGGAAGCGTAGCCAGAGCTGATCTAGCCCCTTCCTCTGACCGTTTCGTGGCTTCAGACTTTCCCAGCCCCCCCTCCCCCAGGTGGACGTGGAAGTCCCGCTCCCGGTCTACAGGTGTCCTGATGCTGCGGACATCCCGGCCCTGGGCCTAGCTACGTGGCGTAGCTGCAGAGAGATGCCCGTCCAACGCCCCCCACCGAACGGCCCCTGCTGCTCTCCTAGCGAGGCCTGTCTCCACTGCGGGATGCTAAGCATCCCGAGAGCAGGGACCCACCGGCCCCTTTCCGCACCCCCTCCTCTCTGATGGCCGACCCGTCCCTGTCCCTTCCTTGCAGTGCCGGGACTACCGGGCCGGCGCACTGGCGGGGGACCTGTGCGAGGACCTGTGCGTGGCGGGGAGGCTGCGCTACCGCGGCTGCCTGCACTACGAGCCGGGCAAGAAGGTGCTGCAGGCCGACTGGCGCGGCCGGCCTGTGGTGCTCAAGTCCAAGAGCGAGGCCTTCTCCAGCTTCCAGCCCCTCGGCTCGCTGGGCGGGGAGGCGGAGGAGGGCGGCCCCGACGTCCCCGAGGCAGAGCTCCTCCTGATGGCTGCCGGGCAGGTCAAGAACGCGCTGGGCCTGGAGCTGCCCAACGGCAGCCTGGGGCCGCTGTGGCCGGGCCGGCGGGGCGCGCGGTGGCGGGCCCAGCTGGCCAGCGCGTGGGCGCTGCTGCAGCAGGAGGAGTACGTCTACCTGAGCCTGCTGCAGGGCCTCAGCCGGCACGTCCTGCCCGTGCTGGGCTCCTGCGGCCACTTCTACGCCGTGGAGCTCCTGGCCGCCGGCGGCCCCCAGCACGGCGCTCTCTTCCCGCTGGGCGAGGCCGCGGGTGGCCCCCGGGGTGGCCAGGGCCGGGCCAAGGCCGTCGGTGACATCGCTCTCAGCTTCTTGGACATGGTGAACCATTTCCACAGCGACTTTTCCCACCGCCTCCACCTCTGCGACATCAAGCCCGAAAACTTCGCCATCAGGAGTGACCTCACGGTGAGTGGGTGGGGCGTGGGGCGGGCCGTGGGCAGCGTGCAGACGGGCGGGTGGCAGGAGTGGCAGCCGCTGGCCTCAGTAAGAACCACCGTCCACCTGCCATGCCTCCTCCCTCCCGTGTGTGAAGGAAGAGTCCAGAGGACCTCTCGGGTGGGAATTGGAATGAAAGGAGACCGACACAGGCGGCGGAGGGCCAGGCGAGGCCTGTCCTCCCTGAGGCCTGTTCTGGTTCCCTCAGAGCAGCTCAGTGGCCCCCAGCCCCTCTCTGGAGGGCGTGTTTGCGGAGTGGGGAGAGGGACCCCGGGGAGATGAGCACCCGCGCAGGAGGGCGTGGGCTGCGTGCACAGTGGCGCAGTTTGGGGACTCTGCTGTCAAACTGCCCGTGCTCTGCGACAGCACGTTTCTTTTTCCAGTGCTTTTTCCCTGCAGAGGTTCTAGTTAGTTTCCATCCCGTGTGAAATACTTCTAGAGGGCCAAGGGGAGTTTCTGAGCCTCCCACAGGGAGGAACCTGCCGAGTGGAAGTATCTGGGCAGATGCATTTTTACCTCCCGCTCTGGGGCCCTGCAGCCACGTGAGAAATACAACGCGTTGGAGGAAAAGCGGCGAAAGGGCCTTCAGTGTTTCATGATGAGACAATCCCCGCCCCCCCCAGCTAGGCTACACCCGCCATGTGCAGGTGCCGGCAGGTGAGCGACCGGCTTAGCTCCAGGCGCCTCAGCGCGCCGGCCGTCCTGGGGACTGGCCTGTGGTGGGGAACACTCTTCATGGTCAGAACATAAAGGGGCAAAGTGAAGGCGCCATTGCTGCCAGCCACAGGCCTCCGTGGCAGGTGGCACCGAGTGGCACAGCCTTCGGAAAGCAGCCTGAAACCTAGAAAACTAATTTGCCGCCAGCGTAGATCCCTTCTCTGACCAAGCCTTTGTCCCCGTGAAGGGCACCGTAGCATCTTGCCCTCACTGCTTTGTCCTAACGCCTTGTCCCTGGCTGCTGGGGGCGACTCCAAGTGTGGAAGAGAAGGAGCTGGGAGGTTCCAGAAAGTTCCAGGAAGTTCTGGGAGGTTCCCGGAGGGTCCACACGCTGTGTAGCGTGCTCAGGGGAAGCTTGGCCCTGCCTGCAATACTCTGAGCTGCACGCAGCCTCCCAGATGCTGTCCTGAGGAGTTGGAGGGGAGGGTGCTCATGGCAGGACCTGCTGAGATGAAATCGCTGCCCGGGCCAAGGCGTCCCTGCTGTTTGAGCAGGGGGTTTACACCATGGAACGGTGCTGTCCACCTCAGGGACGGACGTCCAGGGACGTGGTCATGCAGAGGCCTTGAGGGAGGAAGGCGTGGAGTGTCCAAGACAACCACACGGACTGGGGCAGTTGTGGGCCAGTCCTCGGCACTCGGTCACTCGTCCATGCATCCGGCTACTGAGGCCGGGAGAGTGGAGGCGATGGTGAGGACATCTGCTTTGGAAGGACGCTGAGCAGGCACCATTGGACGTCTTAATCTGTACATTTGTTGGTGATCTAGCGACGGGTTTGCGTGACCCACCTGGGCTGTGTCCCCAGCATTTGCGCAGGATAGGCACCGAGTAACGCCCGGCGTCAGAGTCTCCATCCTGGCCTCTCCTTGTCGTTGGACTCACCTTGCTCGGGTCCCTCGTGGAGCCACACTTCTGGAGCTGCGAGAACAGGATGATTTTCACTTAAGCGTCCGCCACCTTGCGATCCCATGCACAAAAGGAGACCTCAAGCACCTGCCCTTTGCCGCATAATGAGGGTCCAAGGTCACTTCCCTAATATAGAAAGGGCGGTTCTGATAGGTTCCTTAAGAGGCAAGAGGAACACAAAGAAAATTGGCAAGAGAAGAACAGGTCCCAAATACACAAATGATGAAATCCAAATGGCCAAACAACTTGGAAAATTACTTAATCTTACCATTCAAAGACATGCACATTAAAATTCAATGGTAATAGGCCGGATGAGGTGGCTCACGCCTGTAAATCCTAGCACTCTGGGAGGCCGAGGTGGGCGGATCGCTCGAGGTCAGGAGTTCGAAACCAGCCTGAGCAAGAGCGAGACCCCGTCTCTACTAAAAATAGAAATAATTAATTGGACAACTTAAAATATAATATATGGAAAATTAGCTGGCATGGTGGCGCATGCCTGTAGTCCCAGTACTCGGGGGCTGAGGCAGGAGGATCGCTTGAGCCCAGGAGTTTGAGGTTGCTGTGAGCTAGGCTGATGCACAGCATTCTAGCCTGGGCAACAGAGTGAGACTTTGTCTCAAAAAAAAAAACCAAAAAAAACAAAACATTACGGTACATCCACACATTTGAGATGTAGCCATTAAAGCAAATGGAGCATACTTATAAGGAATGATTTGGAGGGATCTCCCCTATGCATTTGTGTAAAATAAAAGGAAATGTGCGTGTGGGCTTGTGCAGGCATAGACTCTCTCGAGAAGGACATTCGCACACCCGGTCACCCTGCAGAGTGGGGAACTGTGTCCAGGGTGGGTGGAGACTGAGATTACACTGTGTCCTTAAGGACATTTTAAATTGTGCACATGCAAATGTGTTCT